TTTTTTTTCTACTCACCATAAGCATTTATGTAAGCGGCCGTGCTGAAAGCCATAAATTTGCTATACTCAGCGGATACCAGAAGTATAGCATAGATCTGACTTATATTTGTGCGAGATTTTGGTGATGCATTCCGAAAGTGTTCCCATGCTGCGCGGTAGTGTCTGACTATATTTCCAGCTATTCTTGTTTCCGAGTAATCAACCGCAGATTCTGCTGCGTACTAAATAATTTTTTTCTCGTCCACGCGAGTTTTCTGGATTTTACCAATTCCGCGTTTATAGCGCACCGACGAGAGAAGAACACTGTGGACTCTCTATTAAATTTCGTTTTCGCCTGGAGATCGCTTTACGCGGATTTCCGTGAAATCCTCGCGTCGTTCGGTTCCAAAGGGGCGACGAGCTTTTTCGCGCAATGGCTTCCAGCGTAAAGTCATATAACGGGGATGCATGGAGACGCGAGAGATGGCGAGAGACGGTGCGGCGGTGGCTACATCCGTAGTCAAGGAAATAGAATAGAACCAGGAGGCGAGAGAGTTGGCCCGTTAGCTGGGTATTGTCGTTAACCTATCAGGGAGCAATTGTCTCCGCATCCCTGTAATGCGTAACTGCGATATTCGCCGGTCACCTGGGCCATTTACCACTAACCCACCGAGTCACTCTATTCGACTCCCCAAACCCCAAAACTCCCAGCCAGCCAGTCAGCCAGCAACCGACACCTCCTAGCCATTCGGGCTCTCTGGGTGGCAGTCCCGCTGGGATAAGGATAGATAATCGCACCATCATCTCTAATGCGCCGGCAGCGCGTCGGTTATAGTTGCATTTTCCATAGCACCGCAGTACACGTCATCATCTTTATACGTTCTGCTCCCGTTGACCCTCTCGAATCGACGGTACGCGGTCACCGCACACGTCCTCCGCTCGGAGCTGAACTTGCGCCACTTGAGAATCTTGGCCTTTTCTCGACGGAGTGAACTGTCGTGAAATGGTGAAAATTGTGAAAACCCAGAATGGTCCGTAGAAGAGGCTGGCACAGATCGAATTGCCATAGGGCTACGTACGTAGTCTACGCCGTAGACTCCACAATCTACGGCAAGGAGCACGAAGACTCCGAAATCTACGTCCAGGACAACGAAGACCCCAAAATCTACGGCGAGGAACACGAAGGCTCGAAAATCGACGTCCAGGAAGACGAAGACTCTAAAACTTACATTCGGGATCACGGAAATCTACAGCAGGAATACTTCGGCTTCTAACTTGTAATGAAAAATAGCAACGTAATATATTTTAGCCACCTTGTATGGGTTTGCGTCTGACAGAACGCTTACCTCAAAACAATTGCGAATCGTGAGTTCGGCGTGAAGCTGCTGCACGAAGCTAAGGCGTTCCTCCAGTATCAGGAATTTTTCAAAAACTGAAAAAATTTCGGACGCAAATATCTCTCTTATTATGTGAGCAATCTGTCCGAATTTTGTTTTCATCTGTATTATTTTTTCTTGCTCTACAACTTTTGCATTTAACTTTTTTCAATATCATTTGAAATGACAAAGATAATTTTTTTTATTTGCGATCGGAAGTTAAGCGAAAAATAGTAATATGCCCATTCGATGCGCAATCAAAAAATATTAAATGGTTGTGACATCAGATTTTCGAAATTGTGCACCGTTTCACCGCAAATCTCAAACGTGCATCTGGGCTGATACACTCTGTATATTTTAATGAAGCAAAATTCATAAAAACTTATATAACATATATGAAATTACTTTGATGGAGCATGGAAGTATTTTTCTCATAAATATTAGATACCACTTTGTAAATTAATCAACGCGAAAAATATAAGGATCGAATATTTTTGTATCGTTTTCTTTAAAATTTCATTAGATTCTACAGACTTATAATGTACGAAAAAAATGGTTTTATGCGTGCCTTCCTTTTAATTAATAGATGGTACGTACTTACTTTATTTTTGTACCATGTACGTCTTATACACGTATTACGTGTTCATACAAAATTTGCTTTATGAAATATCGTGTCAAGGTATTATATAAATTAAATGGAGTAGTTTCAATTAAAAAACTAAGCTCGTTATAGGGAATCGAACTAGTAGATTCTTTCGTTATGAAACTGATTCGCTGTCATTGTGCTATTATAAGATAAGCTAGGGGCAAGCGAATTAGAATTGAATTTAAAGTTGATTACAGGCACATTGCACCTCTCTATAGCTTTGAAATGCAAACCATTTAAATTGAGAGTTCTGTCCACAGGACTCTAACCATACTGGAACGCGTACGCCTGTATTAGAAGGCAACCCGGCGAGCGCGCGTGTAGGAGGTTGTCCTTTTGGAATTGAACTGCGCATGTGGTGTACAAGCCCTGCAAAAATGTTGTAACGCCGCATATCAGTGCCAGCTACGCCAGCACTGAAATAGAAATACATATAAGTATAGTTTGTCAGCTAAATATTTGGTAATAGTTAGAACTACTAATTATTTATGATAATTAAATTGGAAATATTATATACCAATTATGACATTTTTACTATCGACCTAAGTAATAAAACACAACAAATATATTTAAAAAATTCAGCACATAAAACTATATTTTTGTGTTTTGTTCATATTGAAATTAGCCGAAAAGCAAAACTATTTTTTTCATGGTTTCGCTATTCTTTTATCACACAAAAGTAAGAATAGCTATACCTATCAATTACATAATAGCCTCGATTTTTAAATTCATCATTTAAGAAGTCTGGAGCAATTCACAATAGTTAAATCAGTATGATCCGTACTAAACTTTTGCAATCATTTCTGGATTTCTATAAAGTTTTATGCATTAAATACCAATTGTGATTAATGATTTAATATCACTTTTCACTGCGGTCAAGTCCGCCAATCTATTTAGCAGTCTTCGAAATAAAATATATGCGCCACCATTTTAGATTATGTTATGTTGGCTCAGTCGTCCCCGTGCGCACTGCTTTATCTCAGCTTAAAGTTTTTCAGAGACTGTACAGTGTGTGATAGACAGCCTACTACACTCGCTTGTGTCGTTGCTAACTCTCTTTACGCGGCCCCCACCACTGCCGTACGCGACTACCAGTATGGCTAAAGTTCATTGGTTCTGTCGCAGTGGCGTTGTTGCATGTAGTGGCATCATGTTAGCTTCGAATGTGACGTCATTGGACCTGCGCGATCAGGACTAAAATAAGTTCGCTAGTGGCTGCTAGTGGCTATACCTCGTCTATTTGTATCATAATGCAGTCACATGGTGAGACGACACCAGCGTAGACGATCAATAATATTGCAAATTAGAAATGGTGAACTGCTCGTAATAATATTCTTAGAAACCATGGTTTCTGGGGATCAGGGAAAGCTGTTACCCGAGCCTGAGAACTACGTTAAATGCTTCTATGATTTATTTAAAAATATTGCAGAAGCACACAGGTATGACAGAAATATTTTTTATAACCTCACTCTATTCATTAGCTTCCTTTATTCGATGCTTTGAGCTATACGAACCACTCATTTGTCACGCATTTCGTTTAATTTGGCGTGATTCCATGAGTTTTTTTCTTCTTAATGTTTGCACAATTATTTTCATTTCCATTATAAGATCCTCTCCGTCTGCAAAACTTTGCTTTCAAGAAGTTTTCCACGAAGCATGTATTCTTCAAATATTATTTCATTTTAAAATTACTTATATTCTATTGTGTCACAATATGGTATAAGTAATACCAAATATCACTTCTTCGAACACAGTTGATACAATTTCCTTTTCTTTCTGACATTCATGAGTGTCAATATAGCATAACTTTCTCAATTAACCACGCATCGATGGGATGTGATCCCTTAATCTTGTTATCATTCGAAAAATTAACCAAATGAAAGTTACACAAGTTTGATAAATATTCTTATTCCTTTATTTGGACCTGTAAATATATATGTTCCTAATATATTAACTTACAGGACAAATAATGATTGGAAACAATGCAAAAAGACCAAAGCTGTTAGGAAGAAGGATAAAAAAAAGGTATTTCAATATACTTTGGTTCTTTAAGAAGGTTGCAGAAGCATAGAGTCTCTCATAATATTCAGCTGCACAGAAATAATACAATGATTGTTTTAGCATGACTTAAATGGCGATTTAGGTTATACCGCAACACCGGAAATACAAGTGTCAAGCAATGCGTCAGCATTCGCAGTACTCGCAAATGTTAGAAATGCAATTTTGGAAAAGCACGTTCGTGATGTCAATGTGGCTTTTAGAGATTCGAATTGCGAGTCCCCTGTTCCAACGGCGGATCTTAGCGACACCATTCCGGACAGCGACAGCGAGGAGGAAGACCGGATATCCGCGGCACAAAGCTTACCAAAGGTAACGTTTAATTGCATCCTGTATCAGCATTTAAATAAAAATGTTATTAAAGGATGAAGAGAAATACGACCGTCATACTTCGATCCCAAATCATACTTTCAGATTGTGGGAATCGGACTTCGTAGCGTTTTTACATTAATGAGAGAAAGTCGTACGGTCGAACCTATCCTATGCACGAAAGCACTCTCCGCCTTGTTGGACGTGCTGCAAGGACAACTTCCCGAAGGTTTGAAATTGGAGCCTGATGATGTGATCGGTGAGATATACCGTCTCGGAGATCCAATGGATATCAGATAACGGATAGAGCCCTCCTGCTACTACTGGCGCTTTCTCTTTTTATTCCAGATCCATTATTCGATCTTCTCCTAGACCTCGCAACGTCTCACGGACCAGAGTCTGCAGCTGCGAACGATGGCAGCCACTTAACCGCTGTGGCATGCGCCTGTTTGTTAAGTCTAGTCGTCGTTAGGGGTGATACGGGCAGACTTTTAGCAGCGATAGCTGCCCTCTTGATGTGTCCCAGAGCACTGGCAGCACAAAATATTCAGGTGAAAATGTGACACTGTGACCGTGTCGATCATGTCGATGACAATGGTCATGACGTCGCTGTATTTTTATTGCAGATGCCATGCGTCTTGACTGCACTTCAAAGAAGCGTTCACGCAGTCTTACTCGGTAAGCTCATGCGACCCGATTGGATTACCTATGGAGTTCCTAAGAGTTCCAAGATTTATACTTCTACGCTTAAGATACCAGCTGCAAACGAAACGACGAACATAATTTTGAATGGGACAAGTTTTGCGAGTGACGGAAAATACCTTTACTTGCACACCAACAATCGGGGACTGCTGAAAATCGGTAGTGGTCATGGCGGCACGATTTGGGGTCATTTATATGCTCACAAGGCGGACTTCTACCAGAACGAGACTGCTGGTTGGCTTGGCTATGCAAATGTCAGTAGCGACGGAATAATTTATTATTACTCGCTCAACAGCGAAATTTTACAACTTTTTTTCTTATTGCAGGATTCCTTGTACTTTAAATGCGCACCGCGGAAACAATGCGAATTGCTAATATTGGATGCGGAAACTCTAACCGTTCGCGGTATCGCAGTTTTGGAAGGACGAGATTGGTCGTCATCGGTAATGTTTTCCGACGGCGAGAATTTGGGAATGATAACGGCCGCTGGTAAAGATGTAAGTAATAGAACAATCGCCATCCGATTTTTCGATCGTTTTAATCGTTCCGCCAACTCTTGTCGGCAGGATGGTTTCGTCGTTCGTACAATAAATACGCTAAGCAATCCGGTAACAGTTACGTCGGAGCTACCACTGAAACTCGCAAGAAAATGCGTGGACGTCTTTGGATACGCGGCATTCGACGAGGAACAATCTGTTCACACTCTGAACGTGGGTTGCGACGATGAAGTTGTTACGGTTACCGCTGGAAAGGAATTTGGTTTACTAAAGACTCTTTCGGGAAAAGTATGTTATCTCCCAATTTCAATTTTCGAGCGAGAGTCTCCTACTTCGTATGTGAGTCATAGACATACATTTTTCGTTAACGTTACAGTTATTTTATACCGGAAAAGGAAGTTGCCTCGGAATGAAGAGTAACAACAGACCTAACAGATGGTCCGAGGTAACGCTTCTTGGTAAAGGGCCAAGAGTCGCTCACGTAGCTGCAGGACACGATGGCCAGCATGTCGTCATCGTCATGGAAGACGGATCCGTGCTATTGGCTGGAACTGCTCGACGGGGAGAAGATGGTGACAGCAGTGAGTTTAGCTCGTCTTTAGCCACTTACCAGTGATTAACCCCGACAGCACGAGACACCAACGCGTCATGAATCTCTCTGCTTCAGATAAGGCAACCCGCCGGCAGCCCAAACCGGTAAAACCAAAGAAAATGCTTAAAGTCGAAGGACAGTTCATAGTGACCGCTGCTTGTAATAACGGCTCAACCGCACTAGTAACGAAAGAAGGATCGTTACTCATGTTTGGGAAAGACACTTCACACAGTGACGGGGTAACTGGTCTGATTACCGATCTCGAGGACGTGTACGTAACGAATGTGTCACTGGGAAAGGCACACGCGGCTGTTATTACCAATAGAGGTCATTTGTATACCTTTGGAATTAACAACAAGGGACAGTGTGGAAGAGATTTTATTACGGTACCTCATACTGGTGGCGTCAATAAAGAAATTTCAGTAATAGCCATGGAAACCGGCACCGGAGAGGACGAGCTTATCGTAGCTGAGGACGGTGGGTTGCTTCGCGGCATAGCCGCTATATTCGGCAGCTCAAATATCATTTTACAATGACCGATTGAACTTAATTGCAGTGGACGGTGGAGACTCTGCCGCTACCGGAGAGGAGTGGGAGGAAGCGAGAGGCATGTGTCCGCCGGGACAGCACCAGTGGAGACATCGTGTATGCATGGTATGCACTGTGTGCCGAGAGTGTACTGGCTATAGTATATCTTGCCTAAGTAGTATTCGGCCAGACAGAAATCCAGGCCAGTGAGTTTTTTTTTCCTCAACTGTCAGCGTCAACCTAGACGTGTAAACGATATTTAAAGCACCTGTCATTGTTTCGCACAGAGAATGCGGTTGCGGTGAGGGCGACAGTGGATGTGCGGAGTGTGGATGCTGCCGTATTTGCGCGAGGGAGAGTTGTGACAACGGGGGTGGCGATATGGCCGCCGTACTTGGACCTTCCGGAGGTGGAGATATAGGCATGATAAGATTAAATATATATCTTTGCAGATAGTCAGCTACCATAATCGCAAGACGATTCGCGGGATAGTACATTCGTATAGAAAACATTCTAAATGACTAAACTAATTTGCGAGGCTATAGAATCGCTTGGATAGTTGGTAGATGCTTCCTGGACAACACGTGCGACTTCCTAGGCACAAATTTTTACTCTGTTGCATAATACAGGTAGAGCAGGATCTAACCTACGAGATTATCTGCGTAAGCGTTTGGAAGAGCGTAAACAAAGATTACGAAGCAAGGCAGGCCCAAGTGCCGTCAAGTACGCAATGCGATTGAAAGGATCCACTAATCAGAGATCAGGTACGCTCTCACAGTATTCGTTAATATCCTACAACATTGCAGTTGTAATATTTTATTCGAGCCTTTTAAGGCACAGCAAGCAAGAGACAGTGGCTTACATTAATATTAAAACTTCCGTGCAGCTGGACAAAGCGTAATTGTGCAAAAAGTATCATCAGGAAAGACAGCAACCGTAGGGCCTACTAATAATCTTTTAATGGAGGAAGGCATCGGTGGTGGAAGTGACGTAGAGAGAGGTAACGCTACCAGAGTAGCCAGCATACCACCGGCCAAAGTTCCAATTCCCAGCGACAGTCCGGTCATTCAGGTGTCCTGTGGGTTACATCATACAGGTAGACTAATGCGATATTCATGCGACAATAAAGGAAAAAAAAAAAATCAAGAAAGTACTAGACAGTAACACATTTATGACCATCTCTTTACTTGAATTTTAGTTGTTCTTCTACAAAATGGTGAGGTTTACACCTTCGGAAGTAATGTCCATGGCCAATTGGGAATAGGCAATCTTGCAGCGCATGGAGGTCCTGTTCAAGTAAAGCTTCCCAGCGCGGCTACTCATGTTGCGGCCGGTAGCAATCACACCGTCGTTCTAACGTCCAGAGGAGAAGTCTACACTTTTGGTGCATATCAGGTAAAATTATCAATTCGATTTCTTATAAAAACAAAAAATCATCTTACACAAATCTCACACGCACACGCAGAAGGGTCAGCTCGGTATGAACTGGTGGAACGGTTCGACATCTGACGCTGCCAATCCTCAATCACAGGCAAGTCGTAAATCAGAAAGATCCCAGCCGTGGCACAGTTTCCCGAACGTCGTTCCAAATATTGGGCCAAGATGGGGTAGACGAGCGACATGGGTTGGCGCGGCTGGTGATCAAACTTATATAAAGATAGACGAAATTAACTCGATAAGTTTGACGAGGAGCACCGTCATGGCCAATAAAACTTGCATAAGTATGTGTCTCTTGCATTGGATGATCACAGTAAGAGATATGTGATTAATGTTAGATAATTTTACAGTACTGATTCCTCATGAAAACGAGCACGCAAATTCATTCAAGTGTCTGGTAATCAGTAAGCGAGATGGTAGTTGCAACAGTTACAGTGGCAATGATCAGGTCGACTTTAGTCACTGTGCAACGTGCCTCGATCCATTGTACAATGTCATATGGACGTTTAATCCAACAAACAACGAAATAAGTTCGTACAATGTGATATCCACGGAGGCTAGAACCATTCCAGGCCTGGAGGCTTCGATTCTCAGTCCAGGATTGGCTCTTCCTGTCGTCTCTTCGTGTTTCGTCACTCGCTCTCAGGCCGCGATGCATCTATTAGGTTGTCTAGATACTCTGACTCAGGCGCAGGACGAAAAACTCAACATTGCGGAAGAAAGCGAGTGTAATCAATCGATACCCGGCAAAGTTTACAGCAGAGAAGATTTTGTGACTGTCAGCAGATTTGAGAGTACGTATATTAACGAAATATTTGACGACACTGTCTGCGAAAATATATCTTCCTTTTTCTATAGGCAATGGGGGTGGTTGGGGATATTCCGCTCACTCCATCGAAGCTATCAGATTTATGGCCGACACAGACATCCTCCTAGGCGGATACGGATTGTTCGGAGGTCGAGGAGAATACACGGCCAAGATAAAGGTATGTTATGAATCCTCGATCGAATGATAGATCGCGCATTCTGACCGAAATATGTTTCAAGCTTTTCGATATTGGCATCGATGGAGGTGATCAAGAAAACGACGGCGAGCTTCTTGCTGAAACCGAAGAGATTCCTTATGAATGTGGACCTAGACAAAAATACTCCATACTCTTCGACGAACCGATATCGTTGCAAGCGAGCAAGTGGTATGTTGCGTGGGCGAGAATCTGTGGACCGTCAAGTGATTGTGGCGCCGGTGGACAAGGAATGGTTGCCGCCGAAGATCAGTATGTTTCGATTATACTATTTGCTGGTATAGCTTTTTTCTTCTTCTAAGTTTCACTTTCCGCAGGGTGCTGTTTTACTTCAAGTCTTCTAAACGATCCAATAATGGTACTGACGTTAACGCGGGCCAGATTCCCCAGTTACTTTATCGGATAAAAACTCCAGAGAATCAAACTCCGAATAGACAAAGAGATCAAATTGAGTCAGTCTATATATTAAGAAGAGAATTCAGCAGAACTGTCAGCAAAGTAAAAAAAAAAATTGGTCATAGCGATTTTTCGATAGAGGGATATTGTCTTGTGTAACATAATAATACTGATAATCGCATCGATTTCAGGAGTGCTTTCAATCATTAATATCGTTACTACAATGGAGTTGGAATACATTGAAGGCAGGATTAGCGGACACTGCAGTTCATATAGGTTCTTCGTCGTCGTCGTCGTCGTCGTCGTCGTCGTCATCATCATCATCAACGTCGTCGTCGTCGTCGTCGTCGCCGTCGTCGTCTCATATAATGCTTGAGATGGAACGACTCGTATACATAAGCAAAGCCAGCCTTCGACTCCTGAGAACATACACCAATGAAATTTATCCGAACCAAGGTATCCCGCTATGCTAAATGACGACAAAGAAGCTCTTGAATCTAACGCGAACGTTTCCTCTCATATCTGCAGTTGGAAAGAAACCTCCATCGGAATCTATAAAGCTAGCGGAATGTATTGGGGAAGTACGAGCTTTGTTACGACAAATTCTCTCAGACTCTGTGCCAATCAGCCTGAAAAACATGAAGGGAAAAACGCGATTCAGCAAAAGTAAAGTGTCATTAATCCGCGACGAGACACATGTTAGATAAATGTTTTTATCGTTCATTAAAAATCTCACAGGTTCTGGAAGTCTGTGCAACAAAATGACTAGCACAATACTGGACGAGTGTCACAAGACGTTCGTCTCATGCTATCATGCGTTCTATCCTACGGCGTATCTCAAGTGGACGTCTCTCTGTGAGCTTCTTTCGGAGATCGATAAAGTACGTACAGATGGGTTTGCGATACTCGCAAACACTCGTATCATTGAGCGAAAGAATACAATTCGATATTGACAATGGCATTTATATTAAAGGATCAAGGAACTTCGCCAAAAGATCGTCTTCTCTCGGCTGTCCTGGCTTCCCTATGTTACTCAAGGGTTCGGCTTCGATGTACGTTTCCAATTTTGAACAATGTCATGGACATTAGCGACAGCGTAAAACGCCAACTGAGTCCATCGGATAATGCAGGATTACCGATGATGAACTCAACGGAAGGTCATCATTATCCTATTCTCGTCGAGCAGATCAGTTACAAATCTCAAATGGAACGTTCAAGCAAGGAAACGTTAAATTGGTCGTTTCGTGAAGTACTTGACAGACTCCTTGATATGATATTGGTGCCCGTGAAAAAGAATCTCTACCGAGAAAAGAGTCAATCACTGCCGGACCTAGTTCTCCACTGTTGTTACCTTTTGGCAAGAATCGTTGCGGAATTGGCCGCTCAATCGAATGGCAGTTTGGACGAGCTGCAGGCGGCTTGCGGCCGACTCTTGTACACAACACCATCCAGATTCTCGCGAACAAATCCAACGAGATCATGGAATACCGGCAACGGATCTCCAGATGCAATTTGCTTTTCCGTGGATAGGCCCGGAATTGTTATCGCTGGAGTTGGCATCTATGGCGGCGTTGGCGTTTACGATTATGAATTGGAATTACTGGACGATGTGAGTAATTTGTTAATGTCTCTTGATAAAGTGACCGTGCTAGTGAATTAACACGTTCACGAGAAATATATGTTGTACATAATGATTTTAACGTGAAGGTTCATTGACTGGTGTAATTTCTTAAGCATTCGTTTGTTGGTCCATTTATCCAAATCTTTAGCAAAACAATAAGGGTAATGATCCGTCGCATACTCAACGCTGGAGTAGCTTGGACTTTACAAGGGGCTCCTTTGGTCCTGACGACTCTGTCTGTAATGACATTGTCGACCTCAAATTTGACAAGCCGGTTCCAATTAAGGAAAATATCAAGTACGCCATAAGACTACGTAATCGAGGCGGACGTACGAGTAACGGCGACGGCGGATTAAGCGTCGTAAAAGGACCCGACGGCACGATCTTCACTTTCACGGCATGCTCTCTTAGCTTCAATGGTATGACATGCAACTCTCGTTGACACTGATCTCTTGAGACTTCTCAAAGGTTATTATCTTTAGGTACCACGCAAACGAGAGGTCAGATACCGCACATTCTCTACTATTCAAATCCTCAAGACTCCGAGGGCCAGCACACAAGCAAAGCGATGGCAGAGTTGCAAGCTAGGAAATGTACGCTTGCAATGACCACGACCATCGTTCAACGAGCGAATGAAATTCTCTCTTTAGCCAGAGAAAGAGCCGAGGATGTCGTAGCTAACCAAGTTCTTGGAAATGCAACTTTCGTCACGACCCTGTTACCTTTAGTGATGGCACATATCAGTCCTTTGGCCACGTCCGATCCCAGAGTGAGTATCAACGAAAGTAAATGAGAAAATGTCATTCCTTTTGTGATTCCATGACGACATGCAAAATCAATTCTGACCCTTTATTTATTTTTTTATTCAGAGCGGCGTACAGGTTTTAACGTTGATCCAAGAAATGCTACCTCACGTATCAGCTTTGAATTTACTCTCCGCGATGGGGACGTCCGAAATTTCTCAAGACAATGAAACTCAGTCTCACGTATCTCCACCAGTGACGACCAGTCACCATTACACGTGGTTAGAGAGCGATCATCCTTACAAGCCTGCCACGGTCTCTCGCTATAAAGTTGCATTTCCGGAATCCGTAAAATGGTTGACTGTCGAATTCACCCCGGATTGCGGCACCTCGCAGCCAGAGGACTACTTGCAAATTTACATTCCAAATATCGCGGAAAGTTCGAATCAAGCAATTGCGAGTTCTGACAGTTATACCATCACTCATTGGCCCGTACTCCACAAGCTGAGTAACGTTCCCACGCAATGGCCGCAAAATGCTATTGTTCTGCCAGGTGAATTTCACAGTTCCAAATGGTCTTTTGCAATTAACGAATTTCACATGAAAACACTTATATTTCAGGAAATGAAGTGATATTCTCTTTGGAAACAGCGTCGGACTACATGAAGGACGAGAGATCCGTAACATATGGTTTCAAGTGCCTTGTAATTGGTTATGACTGGATTGGTTCTGGCAACGGATTAAAAAATCTTGAGACTGAATTGTCTTTTCTCGGAGGAGCATGTGCCGCGAGCCTCACAAAGAAAAATCTAACTCTACCACCAATGAGTGGTAAGTATTGATAAATCGGTTGTGCAATTACACAGCCTCCGTTGAAGGAGGCTGACAAAACTCGGACTTAATAACTTAAACTCAACAGTACATATTCATGGGATACACAGAAGTTATAAATTTTTAACAGTTGAGGAAGGAGAGGACGATTTTGAAGCTGCTCAGGATACGGCCAAAAGGATTTTTTCTGTGCATTCCAGTCTACTTGGAAGAGGATTTGCCTTAGCAGCGCCTCCCACAGTTTCCCAGGCCCTCGACGGTGTCCTTCCCTTCAGGTGAGTCCTTATTCGTGTCATTTACGCTGACTTATACTATTCCTATTTGGAGTAAAAACACTCAAAGACTCAATAGAACTGTAGTAATGTACGCTGACAAAGGCTGGAATTAAGCGTTACTCAAGATCATTGAATTTCCAGCGTCTCACCAAAACCACCAGTATTTATCCATCGTATCTTTAGGCAGTTGTTTTAAAATTATAAATTGTTTTTCTTACACCTATTAACGTATTTATTGGTCCTTTAGGAAATTTTTCTGAAGGAAATACTTCATCACTAATTAATCATTATCGCTTTATTTATCATTTATCACGTAGTGTCTCTGTGCAAGAGAAATCATATTCCCGATTGTCGTTATACATATATTACAGTCATGATAATTGGCACTAAACGCTATTTACAGGAGTTAACTGTTATGCGCCCGTATTTATTTTTGTACGTTGCTTCAGCTGCGATGTTCACGAGAATGAGGCGCGAAGGTCGGCACATTAGTTAATCTGCAATAAGACGCGCTTTAATATTCATTCTTCGTGACATATTTGACGATTAACTTTTTGTTGTTCAACTTTTTAGTATGCTTACCTAGCTTACCTAATAATAGTGAATAATATCTGCACCGTCGTCAGAAAATAGCATACATATATTATGGGCTGTAAAATCCGTCGTGACACTCTGATCATTTCGAGGCTGTTAAAACAATGAATAACGGGACATTACTTAACAATCGAATTACATAGACCAATTCTAAGACACTCGATATACACATTTTATGCACACCGATGTACACTGACAATCGGTCTGTTGTGTCGTTCCGACAGTGGAACTCGAATCATCAGAATGACACTCAGGGAGATCGTTAATTATGACAATAATTTATGACATGACAATTTTACGCGTCATCTTTTCCTCTGCCGGTCCTTACTCTAGCGCCATTATCGGACTCTATCGTCTCGGGATATGACTTCCTAATTCTTGTTCAAATACTCCGTATCTTCTGACACGGCGAAACTCTGGTCCTCTCGGGACGATGTGAAATTCGTTGTATAATGTAGGAGCTAATGTAGGAGCTCCTGAGGATAGATGATCGTCTGCTCTTGTCGTTAATGACATAATGCAATAGCCAGTAGGTTACGGACTACTTGCTGTTCCTGCTGCAACGCGCATAGTCGATAAATGTTGATCATGCATTCGTTTCAATAGAATTATCAGAGAGGTGATACGCGAATGTTAGAGCTCTTCGTTCTGCTATTGCCTTTTAGTCTTATCACTAGCAAATCTCTCGTGAAATGTTCAACCTTCATTCTTCAGAGTCTATACACGTTTTCCATGGCGCAAGTAAAATCTATCTCACTCGAACAGTCTTGTTATTTTTTCACGCTAAGCAAAGAAATACTTGAGGATTCTCCAACAGTTTCGTCGATCGAGAGTGCGTCGCGCGCTCCTATGAAATTTATATTGGTACTAACTGCGTGTTAGAATAACGAAAAGGTGCAGGATTTAAATATGCAGGATTTAACGTTACTTGGGTCAATTTGAATCTTTTCAATTGGGAGTGGCTATCTTTCAGTGGTATATCTTTAATGAAACAATAAATTTCTGACATTTCGATAGTCAGGATGGCACGTGGTAAAAATTTAAAAAAATTACTGACATTCCATCTGTCAACGTCAGACTCTAACCTCCACTAACTTCTAACTTCCTTGCAATACGGAATTTACGATTCCACCGCGTCATGTATCTACTTGCTCGAATGCATTTCAGTTCTAGAGTCTTCGGTCTTTGAATATTCGTCTATTCGTCACTTATCGCCAGAAATTGCTGATCTACTTGTTTCGTACGGCATCCGCCATGTCCTCGGGTTTCGTCCTTGGACGGAAAACTGATTTCAGAAAAGGAAGAGATGCAACTGCGAAGTTACGATCGAGTGTGATAGGCGAATTTAATGTAATCTCAGGGATGGCGTGGAAAGTTTTAGTTTTCTTAGAGTTCCGTAGTAAGTGGTTCGGCCTTTTCAACGATCACATGAAACTCAGTTTCTCTATACATTCTGCCGTCCGGTACCACCATGGTTATCCTTCTGTCGCGAGCAGTAGCACCGTCCTTACCGATAACGCCGTTCTTCTTATTGTTAGAGATGAGGTCTGGCGCATTTTTCGGGACGCTTATCCAGCTCTTTTGGTTATTACGATGGTATCTCTTGCAATACCAGACAATCAGAATACCGGCTGCCACTAGCGCCAGGAAAACTCCAACGAGGATCAAGACGAAAAGCAGAATGGACCGACTCGTGGCGCAGTAACGATCCTCGAAGACGTCGAAGCTCGCCGACGTGGCGCCACCGTCGACATGCCCGTTGACGCAGAGCAACGTTCCCGAGTTTCGGAGGATCGATTCCTCGAGCGGCGAAGTCCTGCTACCGACTTCGGCTCCCAAATGATATTTCGCATATGCGCCCGAATAGTTGAGAATGTCAATGTCGTTCTTCCAAGTCGGGAGGAGGGAGCAGTCGCACTGCCGATCTATGTAGAGGCTGTCGAGCTCAACGCGGAAACTCTGCCTGTCAAACATTATCGAACCTGCCTCGAAGCTGCCAATTGTATTGTTTTTGAAGATGAGCGTGCTGCGACCGGCCAACGAAGACGTTGACAGCGGTTCGGCCTTAATACGCAGGAAGGCGCCGACATTAACCTTCCGAAACTCGTTGTTCTTGATGATTACGTCACCGCGAGTCGTAATGACGAAAGCGTCGCTCTCGACGTTGCCGAGCACGCAATTCTGAATCGTAACGGTTCTCGGCCCCTTCAGGATGAAGGCCGCGCTTCTGACCGTGCCCATGTCCACGCCGTCGAGGATAAACTCCTGGTGAACCTCGATGTCGTTCAGCGTGCGACTCGGCACGTTTTCTCCGAAACTTCCTCCAATCGCATGGAAGTGTTCCACGTCGAACTTCTTGAACGCCTGGGACTGCATGCTCTCGACATGGCAATTTTCGAATCTGAGTATCTCGGTGCCGTGGAGATTGGCGAACGCGAACGCACCAATTTTACCAATCTGGACGTTCTCGAAGCTTATCGCAGACACGTCTCCATTGAAGACAAAACTGGGCAGCAGCACGATACTTGCATTCTTCAGGGATATCTTGACGTGGCTACTGCGGGACGATATCTCGAAGCTCTGCCGAGCAAGAGTCAAATTTCCAATATTCAGGAAATCGACTGACTGCAAGCCGGTCATCGAGCTCAAACTCGAGTCTCTCAGGATGACGCTCGAACAATTACTCACAAAAATACGGCTAGTGTGAGGGCTCAATCTTCTCTCGCCTTCCGCTGTCAGCAACAATTCCTACAAGTAAAATTCACGAATAATCTCAAGATAAAAGTATCGTGGTTTCTTTTTCTTTAATTTCGTGTTTTTAGAATTCATTCAAGATATCTCTCTCTCTCTCTCTCTCTCTCTCTCTCTCTCTCACGCACACGCACACACCAGATCTAATATCAACGATACGATCGTCGAGTGTAATAGGCAAAATTAGTTAAAAACGTTATTTTAAAACATTAACTTATAGACGATGAGTTCATGACACATCGCATGATTTTCACTAATAAACCATTCCCTACCCGTAAGCTCTTATTATAATCGTTCAATTAAGTCTCTTATTACTCGGTCCCTCGGGTACACGTTAACGGGGAACTACTTGTCTGCAAGTCGTTAAACGATATCAGCAGGGATAAAAAATTTCGTAAATAATGGATTATACCGATATCACTGATTTATGTAATCTCTTACGATTTATTATTCTCTGTAACGTCTGCGAGTTGACGGATACGCCGTTGTGACACTGTGAAAATACATAAAAGAATTTTACCGAGAGGTTTCACATTCAGAATGGCTCAAATGACTGCACTTTATCTTAAGATTAAGGATGTTTAACGTATACAGTTCCAAAGAAAAGTTAATCAAAACCGAGAAGTACTGAATTATATTGATGAGACAGGGTTTTGTTTTAAATGAATTTCGTAAACTTGTTGCCAGCGTACATTATTGAATAAAAAGTTTATTTATTATCGATTTGGATGGGTATTTTTTTAATTGTAAGTACATTTCTAAAGAATGCTAAAATACTTTTGGATGAGAATCTGACCTGAATCTGACCATCTTTAAAGGGAAATAAAAGCTCGGATCAGTGAACCTAATACCTCGTATTTTCAGCTTTAAGATTTAAATATTGAGAATATCGAAAATTTGTAGCCGTGTCTCCTGCCGTTGAATAAATCTTTCGGAACTTTCGAGCGGTGCTGGCTCCTTTCCATTATGAAAATTTTATGAAAAATCTTGAAAACGAACGGTAACACTCGAATCAGACCGTCGGTCGAAATAACCGGTCCGAAAAGCTCGCGAGAAATCCATTTTAACCACTTGAATATCGTAATCGAAGAAAAATTCTAATAACTTATTCAGTATATACGCCATTATAATCTGTAACGAAATTCTGCTGCTGCTGGTTTCACGAGAGCATTTCAAAGACGGCGATGTCTCGCGACGCCGTTCAACAGTATAGGGCCTGCATAAATGGATATGTGGATTTATACAGTAGACCAGATTGCCCTATCTAATGGGTTGGTCGGAAGAAGAGTACGCATTAATAATTTATACGGGCTGCAGTCTCCGAAGAGGGGCTTCATGTTTCTTAACGGCACGCACGTTTCTATCTGCGCAAGTCATTTGAGTTTCCTGTCTTATATCAAAGCGGGATCTCATTCTATCACCGACGGCAGGAGGGGATCCGAGTAACTCTTTGCTGCTTGTAATATGTAAAATGTAAATAGGTCCCTTGAACCCCTTACACTTATGCCATCTATTGGAATCCCGTATTGAACTTGACATCAAGGCGTGTAGATATCGTTACCGAAATGGTCTGTAGGTCAACTGCTGAATAATAACCTAAAGAGAAATATAGGGAAAGCGCAGGATTAGACAAGTAGCCCGAGATACATGAGAAATACATCTTATTCTGTTCCTTCTAATCATCGCAATTGAATTATGTATCGAGCGAGAGAGAGAGAGGGAGGGAGATTTGAATTTATATGTATACTTTACTTGCTTCCTCTAACAAACTGAAAATACAATAAGACAAAGACAAGCACAAATGGGCTTGAAGTGTCGCAAAGACGGGAGTCTGATAGAGATAAAGCTGAATAAAAGCGTAATTCGAGACCGGGTGCGGGATTCTGCATCGTAAGGGAAGGGGGACCTGTGACCTACCTCGCCTTCGTTCCTGCAATCGCACGTGAGCCACCCGTAGTGATTGCAGTAGCAGGGCGGTGCGTCGCACCTGTTGGTTGAGCCCATTAAAAAACCTTTGACGAAGCTACTCCAAAACAATCCGAGAATCACGCTTCCCAAAACAACTTGAGTCGCACCCATTCTTTTAACTTGAAACTTTTAACCTTTTCGAGGTTTATCGGATGGACCTTCCGTCCCAATGCTTTCGGGCCCTCTCGAGATACTCAATACTTCCTCCTGCTTGCACCCCAAAAGAAGAAGAGCTTCATTCCTTCGGCATCTTCGAGGAGCACTTGCCTCCTTCGACAGTGGATATCGATGAATCGGCTGCGCAATCTTTACTTTTCCAGCATCCAGAGCTTCCCGGGCTTCCGCTTGACTCTTTCTTCTCCCTCTCCTTCAGGATGGCATTTTAATTGAAGAGTAACTACGCGCATACGTGGTGGCACAAGGACGAAAACCGTTCCACTGGCTCCGGGTCGCGACTTCGTAACTTGGATTATAAAGAACCACTTTAACGGGCCGAAAAACATTAGATAACACGCATCGCGACGCTATGTGGCTCTATCAGTTATTTTCAACCAGGGTCAACAGATTCTCGTTCTTATTTATTGAGCCTCGAACTGTAAGGAGGTCCATTCGTTGACAGGTTGCTTCGGTGCGCAGTTCTCGAGTTCGAATCCGTTCGCTACTCATAGCTTCAATTCACTTAAAAAAAAAAAAAACGAAATCGAGAACACAATATCTTGTCCATTGATTTTTTTTTCCAATTCAATCCCCTTCCTCTTCTTCTTATCTCGTCTTCCGTTTCCTTTCCCGCAGTCGGTCCTACTCTGCCTCTTCTTGTGTCCTCTTGATCCTCTCTTCTCTTCTTCCTCCTTCTTCTCGTCCACGTACTCATCAAGCCCTCAAACTACATTTGAGGTTCCCCTATGCAGCCATGACGGATGACGGTGGCACTGCTGCAACAACGTAACCATCGAATTCGTCAATGACAAAACTTTGACAGGTTTTTAAGAGATTTACAAATTTTTTATCTACAAACGTATTTCATTAAGTAATCCACGCTCTAAGAATTTGCATTTAATCAAACGACTTCCCGATAAAATCACAGGGTGGAGGATTAACATTTCCTCCACGTCTATAGATTTATCCATGTTTTTATGTATTTATGGATATATTTCATACCAACTGATTCTGACATAACCACATAACAAAACGAATAAATTAATAAATTTTGCAAACTATGGAGATTATCCATGCACAATATATTTACTACGACATACGCTATTTAAAGAAACTCGCAGATCCGTGATAACGATATGATTTTTTGTATGATTTATAAGACTTCACCTGACTGGCTTGAGCCCTGCGATTCAATCTCACATTACACAATGCAAAATGCTTCCGATTGCACCATTTTGGTGTTATTTTTATGAAAGCATTGAAAATGCTTTTGAAACGACGAATTTCGACTGTACCGATCTAATTGGAATTCGTCAATTATTTAAAGCTGCCGATCACTTGTCACTGGATCACGCAAAAATATCGAGATCTCAATTATTTTTTTATTAATGCCTCTCATCTAACGCGGATCCTATGTGACTTGGTATATGCCCAAGGATTAAATCGGATCTGCGACGAAAGCTCGATGAAAGCAAAAAATGTGTGACGTTTGATATCCGAAGTGAAAGATGCTTTTCGTCGATTTACCATAGTTTACTCAAATCTTTATACGGAAATTACATTTAACATGTGAACATTGCTGCCAAATTTCACATAACTCTAGTGTCTAGTGAGGATGATCTAGGAGAATCCTGGATTTGCAAGAGTTAATATATAACTACAATATTAGCCAAAGACGGCATAGATATCGTTTCTCATCATGTGATCCGTTTTAGTTCAAATCAGAGATATAATTCGTAATTTGATAATCCTATTAAAGAACATAGTTCATACTATCTATCGAAACGTGAAATTTGCGCAAAAATACCTGACCAGATCGAATTATCGTTATATTGTAGTTTACCTTGCAATTGTTATTGCCACAACGCTCTACGTGGCATCTCTGTGTCTCGATAGATGCTAAGAGTATTTCGACGGGATTCGCAGATATTCGCAGTATTCGCACGACTCGGTAACTCGCATTGGATATAACTGCGGCTGACATTATCGTATAGCACAATCGTTTTGCATAATCCCGTTATCATTAACGATATACGTATAGCAATGGGTTCAATCAGCATATGGGAAATTGAGAGGTACAGGCGACAGCTGCGACAGTCATGGTGGAGGAGGCCTAGAGCAGCAGGAGCAGCCGAGAAAATGGGAGCGCCGATAGCGCGCGCACGCGATAAGATAGCAAAAGGCTATAACGAGCTCGTCCGATCGTGGATATGTCCCGAAATTCATTTCTTTCTCTCTATTCCTTTCTATTATGTCACAGCAGCAGCAGATCTCTTTACCCACAAGACATTTCTATCCCGCGTATCGAGGTCGCAACATCTACGTGGGCCTGTCATTTCAGGATATTAATGTTCCGGTTGATCGTAGACTATTTTTAACTGTTAATCATAACCGCGGGGGGGGGGGGGGGAGGACGGTCCCAGGCAAGCTTTTCAAATTAACTAAAATTACAATACAAAATATCGCTTGCCCACTGAAAATAACGATCGCTCGACGCTATATAGAAGCTCGAAGGCCGGAGCAGTTAAAAGATATCACGCTCATGTAGCAGCGACTCAATGAACTTGGTTACTCAATGCTGAATTAGGACAATACATTACATGGTGCGCTGAGAGAGTGCTCGACTATAAACCTTCGATTAGGTTATTCTCGGATGATGAGGAGACGAAGCAGGTTCCAGCCGTGAGACGGAAATTAAAGGAGAGACCAATCGCGAGTGTTATGGCAACGTGCGACTGAGCGCATCGCTTCGCGAACCGATACTGCAGTAGTCTGCTTTTCAAATTGACGGTCAGCAACATCTTGCTGGTTATCGCGCGCCTGCGATACGGACGCGCAATCCCCCCTAATTCGAGGGACGAGCTCCTTTACACCAGCAACGCCCTCCTCCCTCCTCCCTCTTCACCACCCATACCACTTATTCATTCAAGCCCCCACGCCCCCCTGTCCCGCCCATCCTTCCACTCCTCCTTTCTCACCTTCCTCATCTATGTTCCTTCTCTACCTTTACAGTGAACTTCTTATCACCTGGGTGCGATAAACCGCGATAGATAAGAATTAATTGTAAATCACGATTTTTGCTGGCACAGTTTAACCTACACTGTAGGACACTTTATCGCGTCGTGTGAAAAAACGTTTTTTGCAACAAATTCATCTGCTACGTCTCTGTGGATTTTGTGCAGTTTTCAGTCCTCCAGATATCTTCAGAATAATTTTCGACTGTTTCCTGAATATCGGTGATTTGTAACATTCACTCGATTACTTGTAAATCGTCAAAAAAACAAAAAAAAACTGCTTGTACTAAAATTGCGCGAGGTTGGATCGTTCGTTCACTGCACCTTTGCATCTATCCATTAGCTGTCGAAGGCCTACGAGATGGTTTCCCATTTCTTTTTTTCTGACCATTCCGGTCACCAGCAACCGGAGAAACATATCAACTTGTTAATTGTGTGAAGAGTAAAATTTAGTCTCGTATGCCACCGAAGTACTTGTCGTGATACGCTGAAAAATAAATTACTATGGCCCCCCATGGTATGTGTATGTATAATTCTTTGAGGAGCTTATATCGCGACCTACAAGATCTTCCTTCAGAAAATCCTTTAGTCCTCGACAATTGATGATAGATCTGCTTTTGCGGACGGTCCAAATCTCTTCCTACGAAGTTCCTTTCATCTCTCACATCACAAGGGGCTTGAGTTGTGAGTGTTATGAGTCTTATGACTTATGGCGAACGACAGCGAATGGAAACGTCGGAGGAGCATTACGGCGTTGCGTTGTGCTCGCGAGAATAGACAATAATATGATCGAGGTTCTCATACGGTTGTAATGATCTACGCGTGTGAGATAAGCAGTAGTCTTTAGTTTGAAAGATTAAAAACCAAGCATAACCGCGGCCCTCTCGAACAAATGCAATATCTGTCGTATCGATCGAACGCGCAGCCATAACCTGTCGGCGTATAAGCCTTTTCAAGACCCCGTATAGTAATAGTCCGAAAACGCCCTATGTTGTTAATCCCTATGTCGTCCGATTGTGAGATCTATGCATTCACGTAACTTTCGAGTCCGCGGCGACTCAGTCCTCAGCTGCTTGTCTGAAATATATGACTTATTAGTTGTTACCACTATACTTCCAACTTCGGGCTCATTGTCAGCTGGATGATTGTCCGTAGGTTATCTTGTAGGCATAGACGGCTAGTGCAGGCTACGACGAACACTGTTATTTGCGTTATTTCCACGTCCCTCCAGCATCGCCCGACTACAATCCGACGAGTCTGCTCGATGCTGGTCATTGGTGCTGATTACACATCGTTATTCTGGTTAACCCGCCGGAAATGACAAAGTGGAAATGCTGCCCGATTACGATAGGACCAGGATTAGCTTAAGACTTCTAACCACTCGCTCTATCTCTTTCTACCACATTTCTGGCATGTTTTACTAAAAAAGAAAAACCATTTTCTCCAGTAAAATTCAAAGAATCGATGACGTGGTATTTTTCATATCGAAAAATAACTAATGTTACATTGTTATGTTTATTTTGTATTACTATGTTACATTTATTTTTGTTTAATCCGGATAGCAAGATTTTTAGCCTCGCCGCACCTTAAATAAATAACAAAATATCTTAGAACAATCGCACGGTAAGCGAGGCCACACACGTTATTTATTTCATTAAGGGGAATTAGTCGCGTTCTGATCGTTAAATCGCTATTCCAAATATATTCGTTAAATGGTGCCAGACGGAGTTAACTTTATACTCAAATAACACGATAGATCGATTGTCTGTCCCGATCAACAGCGCTTGACAAAGAAAAATGACCAAATCATCTTAGATTCTCTCTCTATTATTCGCATCAGGGGGAGGTTTTTCTTTTATTTCGGAGTAACCAAACAGTCCCCTTTTATTGAAATTTTCCTTTTCCTTCTTTGCAAAGACCGATTGATAATTTTATTCTTTGAAATTCGCCAATTGCAGTCGGTCTACATTGGAGCTTGTTTCCGTTTCCATTTCAAATTTTTTTCATTAACATCATAACGTTACAAAGTAGTGAAGGCTTCTGCGAAAAGAGCATAGAGTACAGTGTGTGAAAGAGAGAGAAGGAGAGAGAGAGAGGGGGGGGGGGAGAACAAACATGTGGAACGAGAGAGGCTGAGGTTGAATGAAGTGGAATGGAGGCGATGCAAGACGAATTAAGTCTTCAGCAACTGGATTCAAAGATCACTTCCTGCCAGATGATCTCACCGCCTGGACTCTCGACATTGATTGGACAGAGAGAGAGCGAGAGAGAGAGAGAGAGAGAGAAAGAGAGAGAGAGAGAGAGGGAGGGAGGGAAGGAAATAGAGATACAGGTCTCATCTCAAAACCACTCACGAAGGCATAATAACGCGTTGTTGTCAAAAGAGAGAGAGAGAGAGAAGATCACTTCCTGCCAGATGATCTCACCGCCTGGACTCTCGACATTGATTGGACAGAGAGAGAGCGAGAGAGAGAGAGAGAGAGAGAAAGAGAGAGAGAGAGAGAGGGAGGGAGGGAAGGAAATAGAGATACAGGTCTCATCTCAAAACCACTCACGAAGGCATAATAACGCGTTGTTGTCAAACTTATTTTTATTATTGGTCATTTATAGTGGGAGTGGGATAGGGGACAACGCAACACTTCCATTTATCTCATCGGAAATAAATGACTGCCAAATCGAAGCGCAGCTCAGCAATACCGGATTAAATTACGTAATGTACGCCACAGGAATAATAAATTTTTAACATTTAAACACGTGATGTACCTCGATACTGCACGTTATGCGCTAGTGGCGCATTGCAGCAGCAGCGGCGATTCGCGGATTAAGAGTTCTGACATTGAGGCCGCCAGACTCTGACCCCGCATTATTGATGGCGAGAGGAGCTTATGTAACTAGGCATAAATGTACATTTTCATGTTTCCGAGCATCGGACGAAGATAAATCATAAATTCATAATATGACATTAACGATAAATATAGAATATAGCATTGATTTGTTAAAGCGGCCAAACCGGAACCCGCATGTGTTCCAAGAGACCCTCAAATGTTTTCAAGTTCCGTTCACACGAGGCTCCCCGTCGTTCTGGTGCATCTAGGCACGTGGGAAGTTTCCCTCGGTAGTAATGGAAGCACACGTGTCCTTCCCGTAGGAGCGCAACTAATTCTCGTTATGAAGCATTGGAAAATGGACTAATTCCAGGAGACATCAATCCTTACGGCCAAGAATGATACATACATATATGTATAACATCTAGTAATGTACAATGAACGAGCTGCTCTTAAATTCATTGAGGGCGTAGCAGAGTGTGGCGCCAACTGCGCAGGCGCAGCATCCGAGATCCGACATGATCATCTGGATAACCCCATAATTGGGGAGGCTTCGGGAAACCGAGGATTGTACATAGATGAGGTTACGAATTTCGTGAATTCTTTGAATCCGAAAAGTCTGTAGGGAAAGCTGTGAAAGTAGACTTTGCATAAGATGCAAGGATTGTTATTGTACGATGTGCTTGTTTCGTGCATTTCCTTTCGATTCGAGAAAAGAAACCCTTTTGCCTCGCAAGATCGCAGGACGATGAGAAAGTGATAATGCGTGAGTCCTTGCGCGAGTCGGACTGGACAAAATGTAGACCATGTGGATTGGTACACCTGGATGTGTGAATCGTAACGGCGAGTATGTGGCGCGAGTCTCTAAAGCGTTCGTCCACGCTATAAATATCCTGAGGTATATTTAACTTTCAATGGAGAGACGACCGACGCGTACGACGTCTCGGCTCGGTCACCGCTGTCGCCAGCGTCCCAACCAGATACGCTGTCTGCGCCTGCAATGTTTCCTGGCATTCTGCAGCGCAGACATTGTGTATCGCATTCTGATTAACTTCAGTGCTAGATAATAAATGGAAGAGATGAGAGGAGAGAACGCAAAGCGAGAGAACGGTCGAATCATGTGATCGGCTGGCTTATCGGATACCGGCAGAAATTTCAACTTACACAGATCCTAATCGTAAGAGGAGGGGAGGGGAGGGGGGGAGTTGTCTCGAAAATTTGGCAAGCTGCGAGGACTTTCTGATTCCGTTCGCTGATCCGGTAGCAGCATCTTGTTACGAAAGGATACGCCTCGCACATCTTGCTTCCTGAGATTCCTTTACTCGTATTCGTAAATGCAAGCGGTCCTGTGGAAGACTTAAGTCGATGAGTGATGAAAAAGTGAGAAGTAGAGTAAGGAAAAACAAGAGAAAAACAGCCCTCGGGAGCTCGAGCTCTTGACCGTCGACTGCTGATCGTGGCGACATCCTGTATCTCGGTGCTCGTGTATTTTTCTTGGCGTTCGTAGAGCTTCCACTGCCATAGTAGCTGGCATACGCGAATTTCAGGCTGCGCGCTCGAAAGTACATGACTCGCAAATGTACGTTTCATAGTTACATGGTCGAAACCTACTGCAAAAAGAAGAGTTTGTCTACTCCCTTCCTTGCTCTTCTTCTTCTTTCTTTCCCTTCCCTTCCAGAAATTAGGCTCCAGTTAGGGGTCTACTAGTCAAGTCTAGTGTGAACCGTGTACAATCTCGCTTTAGAGGCCAATAGGCCTGCGCCGCCTCCTTCATCTCATAGGAGATCTCCGACACTCGTTCTCCGATCCTTGTCCTTGTCCCTTCGATTCGCTCACTCGCGCATTCTCCTGCTCATGCCTTATTTAGTAACAACTGACTCTGTCCCTGCACCCGTGGCTGGATATTTTTCAACCTATACCTTTTGCGATACTCTCGTTTTGCTACTCCCCAAACACATTCCCCCGTTTAGGCGCCTCTTGAGTTTCATCGCGATTCAATGACGCACATCAGGATGCTCTATATTTTTTATCAAGCACGAGGACAACGATTGCAATAGGTCGTTCAAAGGAATAAGTCAGGAGTTGAATACGCAATGGATTAACGCAGGCTAGCAAGATACAAAGTTAACGCTGCATACTTACTTCCAGCCAAGTGATGAGATGATTGGTTAGCTGATAAAACATGATAGCCCCAGCCTATAGAGACTTGTCGGGCGATCGCACGTGAGAGCATACCATGTGCGTGATGTCATTGACTTCCGGTATGCTAGCTATCAGAAACTTGCGAGTCGCTCGCTTATCTTATCACGTCTTGCACATAATTCCCCGTCCTCGAATTTCTGCGATCGGCTTCTCGCTTCGCACCAAGTCGATATCGATCTGTACGTTTACATGTCACATAGTTTTAGCTTACTTATAATTCGCGAAGTTAAATATTCATGTTTATACAATAGTATGTAGATCCACTGATTTTGTCAATCTTCTAGGAACGATTGACCCGGATATACATACTTATATGTATATGTATATACGTATATACGGGCTCAATTTATACGTTGCACGCTTACTACGACCAAGTAATTGTGAGTTCGTCTCTTTCCCTGGCCCTTGCTACACGGCAAGCATACAAAGGCTCTCGCGGGACACGTAGCTGCACCTTTCGAGTCGCCATATAGCGTATTATGAACGTTAGGAACGTTTCGAAATGTAAGATGTATGTATGTAGATATTGGCTCGACTGGGCATCAAGTCGATCGCGACGCGGAGATGGTGCGACGACTTCCGTCTCCCTCATCTGCACTCCTCTGCTCTGTACTCTTCTAGCCTAACTTGAACAGCTGCAAAGCAGACCGCCATCGCACTGCTGCTTTCCTTTATTTGCTCTTCACGCATTCTTCACGGAATAGCTTGGTTCCGCTGGCGTTGCCAATGCTGCCTCTCCCCCGACTGTGGCCAGAGTTCAGGAATACACCTCCTGGGTGCCCGGTATCCTGTTGCCGTCCTGATCCCAGTCCGCCTGCACTGTTGCCCCCCAAGTGCATGGAGGATTTCGTCCTCAGAAAGAATTCTCTCTCAAAAACAACAACAAAGAAAGTAATAGGAGAAAGTAATAAGTTCTTAGCTAACATTTGAATTTCATGCAGGTTTAAGTGAAAGGAAGGGAAACGAAATGAAAAACGGACTGGAGGAGCAGACTAGTAGTGTCTATTAAATTGAGATTTCTCATCTTTAATACTTGACGTAACAGAAATATGCGCACTGCTGTGTGTGCGTACTGCGCATGCGTGCGCGCGTGTATAAAGTTATATTACATTGGTAAAGCTCCTGTTCATTGTATAAAGAATATTTGGGCCGATGATCGTGTCTCGTCGGCCGTAGTGACAACCGGAGGCGATCGAATAGTCTATGAAAATAAAGAGAAGAGAGCCCAGTCCAGTCGTATGTACACATTTACTTAGAATTAGGTAGAAACGCGAGAGCTGCTGGACGAAATGACACGGAAACTACACAAACGAGTTAGTCGATCGTCAATCAGTTTGCTTGCTCGTCTCATACGTCTCTTGCTCTTCTGCGGTGGAAGACAATTATTCGACGAGATACTTGATACTCAGTGTTTCAATAAACTTTGGCAAACGAGCGTCTTCTCCTCCGTTTCCTTCGTAGCGAGAGCTCTTGCGCATTCAACGGTCCAAAGTCCCATGGGACTGTTGCGTCGAGTCACTCGCCAAGATTTAAGGCACGTGCAGCAAGATCGGAATATCGCGGGACACTACCTCGCTATAAGTTTTCTTTAAGGGATAGTCTTTTTCGAGAAACTCGATATTTATATCACAGTCAAGCAGTGTCGGACGTCGACCGTCACTACGCCTTTGCCATCGCGGCCACCGTTGCTGCTGCTGACTCCTGGTCAGGTTTCGTTGGAAGCGGTCGATTGGCCATTTTACTGGCGGAAGTGGAGCTCCGGGGTTCAGGGAGTTCCGAGTAAAGATGGGCCGTGGCATCCGAAGGGTCGGCGTACTCGCAGAGCAGAGAATTCGGCCTCCTGGCGCTTTGTGTTTTCCCATTCCCGAGGATACTCTCGCCGAGAGCCTTGAGGAAGCTGAGGGGTCTCGCCTGGACCCTCGAGGGCGCCTCCGATTTCTGATTGCAGGTATTGTCGTTGATATTATTGAGGACGTCCGGCGGCAGGGGCTGAGGCGCGCGAGTCGCGAGGGCAGGTTGCGACGAGAGTCTACTGGTGCTCGGGACCGTCTCGTCCCCCGGAAGCTCCGCATAGAGATGATTGTTCTGATCGGTGAGACGATTGTCACGAGGCTCGGTGTACTCGGCGATGGGGGGCCTCTGTGCCGCTGCGCTCGGCAGGAGCTTCTCCAGGGAGGGCACCCTCGTGCCGACGCTGGTCGAGGGCCTCGCCGGTCCGCGGACTCTCGCGCGTGGCCTTATCACGTCGTAGGCGTTCTCCTCCTCAACGTTGCACACCCGCTCATCCTCGTTGTTGTTGTTGTTGTTGCAGCTCTCTTCGACTTTAATCAGATCGTAGAGATGCTCGATCATGTCGCGCGCCTGACTGTAATTCTCCGGATCGTTCAGCCGCTCCCGTAGCTCCCTGAGGTACTCTTCGGTGAGCTCCTCGGGCAGAGTCTGCGTCGCCTTATTCTCCGTGTACGCGTATCCCTCCTCGGCACTGAACCCCCTGTGCGTTCCTACCTCAAGAATCCTCGTTTCCGGCTGTAAACCGGCGTACTCGTGGACGCTCAAACGAGATATCGAGCGCGCAGACGTTGCCGCAGTTACTCCCGTGCTTGGCGAGAACCAGGATTCCCATGTCCTGCCGATCAGGACAGGTCGCGAGCTCAGCTTCGGGCAGACCCCTTGTCTTCTCATGTAGAGGATCCCTGATAAGAGGATAACCAGAACCACGAAAAATACCGCAAGCACGCATATTATCATAATAATCCTCTTCTCGCGTTCCAGCTGTTCAGGATCGCTCATCTCGACATCGAAGTAGCCCTTGGGCCTCGGATAGACGTGGGGCCCGACGCTTGGTGGACTGACGCTAGGTCCCGGGTTCGCCGAAGGCACTTTGCACTCTATATGATGTCCCTCGTTGCATATTAATCTCGTGTAATTGCGCATCGTAAGTTTGCCTTCGGGCACGTTGTGGCATCTCCCGAGAAAGCTATCTACGATGCAGAAACTCGAATCCATCATCCAGGAAGTCGAGGAGGCGTTTGTCCCGACAATCGTGCGCGTCCAAGTCTCTAGATTGCAGCTGCACATCTCGTTGAAGACATTATTGCCGATCCGAGCGGAGTTGACCTTTAGCGAGATCGCCGCAAACTTTAGTGACCCCGGCATGGCCTTGTTGATGCGATTTCCCGTAAAAGAAAATTCGAAATTTGGCGCAACCGTCGCGTTCTCATCAACGGTAATGGCATCCCCCTCTATATTCTCAAAGAGGTTGTAATCTATGGCAAGGTGATTCCATTGGTGAAGAACAATTGAATTCGTACGTAGCTTTTGAAACTCGTTGTTATTGAAGGTCACGCTCGCTGCTGCAATGTCAATGGCCCCCGACTCTACTTCTGTCAATCTGAAAGAATCACCCAACATAATGATAGTTATAATGATAATCATGATCGCGTAGCGCCTATACACCCGTCGTCTATACACGCGCATTATACGTATTATACGTGTACATATAGTATAAGTACTACGTACGTATGAAAGAAATATGAGAATTGGTAAGAACGTAAAGGCGTGTCTACATCTAGCGATCGTTTCTTCGTAAGATACACCAACCTGGAGTATTGGATAGTCAGATTGTTGACCGCAGCTCTAAGCGCCCCGCCGCCAACCCTCTTCAGACTGACGTCAACAAACTCGAGACTGTGAATGAGGGTCCGATCACTGAAAGCACCGGCCTCCACTTCGTAAATCGTCGCGTTGCTAATGGCTACGCTGAGGATGATTATCGCGCAAAATGCTTCCTTGCGGATGACCTTCGTTGAGAAGTCATCCATCCGCACTTCCGCCGCCATTGACGGAAAGACCGCTGTCGGCAACTCCGGAATCATAACGGATTGGAACAATATCTGAAAATCGGAAGGAATAAAAGAATTTCTCGATAGGCTGCGGCTAAGTCACAATCAGCGTGCGCGCTCAGCAGAGTGTGCTGCAACAATAATATCATCACGCTAACGCAACGATACACGTATCTGGAAGGTTCTATTAGAGTATGCGGATGCAGTGCGATGCAGCCGACCATAAATGGGCAACCCGAATGGTAGTCAGACACACGTCAATTTATTCATCGTTAGGCTTGCAAATGCGCCGCAGCGCACCGCACCCCCACCACCCCCACCACCCCCACCACCACAACTCTTCTGCGCGATTCCACAACTTACGTACAATTCTGTGGCATCGAAATTCATGTGGAATGCGCAAAGTAGGAAATAAATAGAAATTAGGCAGCAGGTTAAACGGTAGGTTGAAATCAAGAGATATAGGGAGTTACCTTGGTCGCTGGTCCATGACGTCCGTGTGGCGGAGCCTCGAACTTGAAGGCGTTGCTCGAGAGCTGAAGATTCTCAATTTCCTTTAGGGATATCCGGAGTAGCCAGGAAAATGCATTCGGCTTTATGGCGACGTGAACGCATCGCGCTATCGATACGCTCAGTGGTCCACGTGCATTCTTGTAAGCGTGACTCTCGATGATGACCGATTTGCACTCGGAGACCTCGAGGAGTGGATTCGGCGCAGTGAGATTCTGGAAGGCCTGCTTCTTCGCCACCAGACTCTGAATTCCCGAGACGCGAACCCTCTTGAGCTGCGCCCCCCCTGTAAATGCGCCCGACTGGATCTTCAATTCTCTGCATCGAGAGACCTCGACCTCCATCGCGTCCGACGGCACCGTGCCTTCCTGCAGCTCCACGTCCTGTAATCATCAACGACTTCGTTTATTGCTTTCGTTTATTACGTATAAGCAACTTTCAATAGGATCGCGCCAGCTGCAGTCAGTCTGTCCATTTATTTCATAGTATATAGAAATATGTATGCGGGAACCACCTTCAGATGGTGCAATACGTGGAGCTCTGAATGATCATCCTCCATATCAGGAATGCCAGTCTCAAGGACCTGCACACCTTTAATTACCAACTACATAACCACATTCCGCTGTAACGTGGATCAAAGACTTGCCACTGCTTATTTATACTAGAAATTGTTGGAAATACAAAATTTCCTCTCCCTATCTGGCCCGCAGATGTCTGTTCAGGTTCTTCGTGGGCCGGCGATTTCAACATAAAATTTTCCTACTAGAAATTTAGCAATCTCTCGTCCCCCAACAGATATCCAAAGCTATTCTTCTACTTCTTGATCCACGAACCCCACAAGAAATGTTTTCCTTTCAAATAAACAAAAAAATGTCTTACAACTAGCGACGCGCTTTCGTACACCCTCCAAAGATCCTTTCTCCGTATGGTAAACACGTCATAACACAAATGCGAGAGATCCTTCGCATCCGAAAGTTTCAATGCAAACTGGAGTGCCCTATTTTTACATGAAAAACATGTCCCGATGATTCCCCTTAGAATCCAATAGGACAGTGTCCCATGGTGAGACGCACCATTCCGCGATTTGAAGCTAGAACTTGTAGTGTGAAGTCTTGGAATCAGCAGGTTCCCCTTGAATCCAATAAAAATGCACTTGAGCTTCAGTAAAGTTTATTCTATTCCTTTCTCTTGGTTATTTGCGAGGAGCACGCAAGCGGCAGTGGCCACGAGTTTTTGGCGTACTTGACATATTGCCTCTTCTTTGCGAGATCAGGGGAAAAGCCGAGCAAGCACAGCAAGGACAGCAAAGAGGAGAATACACAAAACTATGTCGATTCTCTCTGTCTCTCTCTCTCTCTCTCTCTCTCTCTCTCTCTCTCTCTCCTCTCCTCTCCTCTCCTCTCCTCTCACGGTTCACACTGCAACGTTCATTCTTGGAATCCGAAAGGATTTTGATTCCTCCCATTCTCTTTAACTACAAATACGGCATCTTCCTATTTTTATCTCCGATAACATAACATAACATGCGTCCTCGTGACTCATGTGAACCGTCGTTCATGAGAAACCGCCGAGAGACCGCTTCGCCGCTCGTTGAATAATTATATTTTCGGAAGCCTTCGTAAGCCAATTTCCGAAAAATCTTAATAACTTTTCATAAAAATCAAATCATAATTCACACGCATCATTTCATATGATATGTATACCGACAGCAGCATACACGAGTCAGTCACATGCATGCGGTTAGCTATCGGCTCTGCCAGTAGATTTTGCGGTATTTTCGCCTTCGTACTGCGCTGACGTTCTGAATAGAATTCGATCTCACCGTGACATACTCCTCTCACTCGCAACTTTTGAAGCACGTGCTGCGACACGGTTTGTGAATCGATTTCAATCAACGTATTTACCTTGAAAACATTCTCACACTCGAGCGATCCGACATATCCTTTATCGCAGTAGGCAATACGCAATACGCACGACGCAGCATGCAACGAGTATTGCAGTTATAACGATCGATTCTCCTCGTATGAATTTTAAAATTGGCTACGAAATCCTCTTACTCGTCGCAATCGATTATTCTACGTGAATGGAGACGAACCATCGCGAAACACAGAGCAATAAAGCATTGTGCCCCGAAGATCGCGATTCGCAATCCGTTGTGCTTGTCACATTTGTATTCGGCTAACTTCACTCCCACAGTGGCTGATTTTACTAGGCCCTACTGTGATGTACCGTCATCTACCGTCATCTATCGTCATCTACCGTCATCTACCGTTAGCTACTGTACTAGTCCACCATGCTATAGTTTTCCAGGTTCGCATAGCACTACGGTATAGCAATAGTCCAGTACGCGTCGCAGTACACACGGCATAGTATACGTAAGGGAGGGTGAAGCAGTGAGTCAGGCGATGGTATGTCGGAGGATGGCGCTGGAATAACATGCCTGTTGCTATTTCTGTGTCAACACAAAGAGGATCCCAAGTTATGAACACCGAATGGCATCGGATGCACTCCAACGTTGCAGCTGCACTCGAGGATTAATTCTGTAGTACGAGAAAGATGGTGGTTTGGCCTGGAGCCATCCGGATAGTAACTGCGGTGGAAGTTTATGCTCTAGTGGCAAATTATTGCGAGGCGTCCCATCGTCAAAGAACGAAACGCGGACGAAGGACGTAGCCTCGTGTCATGAACTTTGTCCCGAGAAATATGAACTATTTTGACGAGTCGTTCGATCGATGCGATTGAACGTGAATTGTAGCTTGGCGAGGTGCACGAGAGAATCGTAAGTCTAACCTCCTGCTTGATCTTCGAGTCTGCCATTCGCTTCGGCACGATCTTTATCATCTTGCACAAACTGTAAAAGCCCTTCGCGAAATGCAGGAACGTCGTTAAAAAAGAATGGAGAGCCAAAATGAAGAAAGCGCTTCCTTCAAGCAGTACATTTTGAACCTCCGGATGAATTCTGATTGAATTTCCGAGCGTAAGTAATGGTTTCTTAATGCGAACCAGTTGCACGTTCAAAGGGAGATTTCAAGTTGAGAACGACAAAGAAGCGAATACGCAAATAATTATAATTATGCAAAGGGAAAGTTCAGCTGGTGAAAGGCAGGCGCTCTAAGGAGGTATTGCGAGGAGGAAATTCATTCATTGTCAATATCGATCCTGGTAATCGCATCGCGTTACGAATATTAAAACAGGTTGCGATAAATTCGGAACGTATCGCAGGATGAGCGATAATCGCTTCGATACAGTTACGTTCGCCATGTCGGACAGCTGCTCGACAGTCGTCGCTCCTGGCGGAGTCAAACTGGGTCACCGTAAGCGGACGCGTTCTCCGCATTCTTCCTGATAAAAATGTCTCTTGGCTATCTAGTCTCTGCTTCATCTGCTCTCTATCTGCTGTCTAGTGTCTACCGGAACTGGCGGCTGCGCTAGGTTGCACTCCCGCACGAGAGCCCTTTTATTAAGGGACACGCTGAGAGAGACTAGAAACGCCGCACAGAGCTAGGACCATACAGAAATAGTTGAACTCGTTCCGCTCGAGTTCCAGTTCTGTCTGTATCGCAAGCGCCGACGTGGCAACGTCGACTTCAATCGGAATGGAGGAAGACGAGACTTTGACGTGACCCACGAAAACGCGGGATTTATTTTAACGAGAACGTCAATACCTCACGTTCTTTCAAGTACTGCCGATTCTTCCTTCCTTACGTCTTCTATTCTTCCCCTTCGACTCGGTCGCTTTTACTATTTTTCCTTTTTTTTCTCCCGAGAAAGTCCTCGATGCCAATGCGACCATCGACCTTCACTTTATCCTATAAATTTCCTGGCAAGACGCAAAGCGATGTCACAGGTCGTCCAAGCGTCCGATGATATTTCGTTCTCGCGATGATTCAGTCTCTCGAGGAAACGGCGATATTTCGAATGGGAATGATATTTCGTGAGGGAAGCGTGACGGAAGCGCAAGACGAAACGATTCTGTGCGCAAGTACGGTGTAACGTTCGCCTTCGGAAGTAACAGTTGAACTGCGAGTCTCGAGGGCCTCAACGCACCAATGTGAGCAAATAATTATCTCTTGTGGAAACGCATCGAAAAAGAGTCGCAAACGGAAGGCAATTGGAAGCACGAGGAATCGAGCAGAGCGACCGAGGAAAGAAAGCTGATAGAGGCGCGGTGCCGTTACGGGGCGCGACCTACTGCACAAAAAAGTCAAGGCTTCGCTCCACTCCAGCTCCTCTGCTCAAAGCTGCCGCTTTCTCGTAATTCTATGCAACGTCATTTCGATGCGCCACTTTCGCCGCAACAGCCGAAACGCCTGAAACGGCAGTGGCCAAACTCTGTTTCGGGATCGAAGTTCAATGTCCGTTGACTCGATCCTCGCGACGTCTCCGCGTCTTGCCGCTACGGGAAATGCCTAACGAGAAAAAAGGGAGACGCATCACTCTTCTCATTCTTCATAGGCAGCGTACTGCGCGTTGTAACGTTATTGTGGCCATTCACCAAATCGAATGAATCCGTGGCAATGTCTGCGTAATGGCCTTGCTCGTACCCCCCCCACGGGTCAAACCTAAGTCACGTCTTGTTAATTCATTTAATTAGAGTAGCTCGTTGAGACGGCGCGCAATTTGTTAATTTCATCGCACGAGCTAACGTCTAACGTCTAACGTATGGTACCACCCGCCTGACCCGCGGCTGTCACTTCGGAACGTCTTGACGAAGCGCGACTAATACAGGTACACAGGTACTTATATTTCACTCTTATACTACGTATCTATAAACTTTCGACTCCGTTGTGCAATTATGATCGTTAGAAAAAAATATATAATATATAGTAATTATAATAATATCTTCGTATTTCTTTGTGTTTCCGCTGGGGATTCTCATCCTAGACTGTGCTTGTACAGCCTTCTTATCTGCACCGGAAGTACATAATGTCTCACAAGGAATTTTAATAGGAAGTGCAAGGTCTGGAGATGCGAGCACTAGTGGTTCTCTGGTGAAAAGTCGGGAGCCAAAGTCCCTACAAGTCCCTACAAGCCGCCCCTCTGCCTATAGTATAACCACTTTAGTATAATATCCGACAGCGACAGGAAGCTTTTGTATTTTATTGAAGAAATATTTGAGCGACACTGTGAGAGGCGTGACAGGTAAATGATCAAATAAAATGGACTTTCTTCAAGGCAAACCCGTTCTAAGAGTTGTCAAACTGAGAATATGAATAAGTAAATAATCTTTCGTGAGCTATCGTAACGAGAACCGTCGGCGGGGGGATTCGAGCCGCTAGTGGAAAATTCCATATGCAATCTGAGCGAATGTCAATCTACAACTTGCGGCTCAAGATACATGACGGTCGGAGGACTTACTTGACTGTATACATGTGTATACTCCTATATGTATATCCTAGAGGAGTCTATGAATAAAGAAATGACAGTACTAAATCTGCTGGACGTCGGCTGTTATTAAAAATCAATTGGTGGTAAGCCTGAAAGGGAATGTGAACTTGTGTGCCACTTGAACCCCAGCTGTGTGATGTCGTTCCCGAGCGCCTTTGGCCCGCATGCATATGTATACATGGCATCCTGTGAATAACACCGACAGATTCGTTGAGACGTTCAAGGCTTGTTAAAAGAGTCTATTGTGAAGAAATTGAGCCGCCAGAGTCCGTGCGACGGGGATGCTCAGAATGGGCTCCTGAGATAAACGGATCTACATTTCACGAGGAACGCGAGAGGCCCGGATTTGGCTCGCTAGTTAGTACACCCACCAGTGACGCGTCTTTCTTTCTGACTTTCAATGCATAATAAGCAATAGGGATTGAAGCCGAGTCGGGGTATTCGGCAGAGAAATATCTTTCCGAACCGTAAACATTTGAGAATGATCATATAAAAATGCATATATAACAATGCATCGTCACGCTATGCCTCCCTTCCCAACGAGGCGGATGGGCGCATGACTCTTCTGAACGGAAGTCGCCTGAACCGGAAGCTCTCGAAATTCAGTAAAGTTCATGAATTTCTCGTTCAACTTGAGAAAATTTACTGAAAATTTACTGAAAATTCACTGGTATCCCCTTTTATTCAGATAACGTTCAGCCTGAAAGCGGAGACTTTGCTTCGTCTATTCTTCTGCGAACGGGACAACGATGTCTTAAAAGGAATTTTTTCAAAATTTACAATTTTATCAAAGACGTTTCGATATGTGCAGAAATATACTGTAGTGTCTATAAGTACTATAAGTATATCAAACGTATAAAATCCGAGATCAAAGAATAAACGTTCCCGACGACTCGACGCATATTTACAGAGCCAGCGAGTTGCGCTTTAGCCTTTAAATGGAATTAATGGTAAGGCTGCAATGGTAAGTGACACCGTTGCAGACCCCATCAATCTGATAATCTGATTTGATTGAGAAGTCGCATCTGAGCCTTGAGATGTCGGAGCACAGTGCCAGCTTTAAATAATTAACGAGTCAATCGATCGTCTTTCCGGTCTGTCGCTTGAATATTACGAATTTGACACGACGACCAACATTCTACGAGGATCGAATTCCTACTGCTCGGTCCATGTAGGTTTTTCGACCTTTCAGTCTCTACGTTTATGGAGAACGAGAAAATAAAAATTAATATATTAATAGACGTTTGATTCCTGGTATAGAGTGCACAGAGCCAAATTCTGTTTTGCTTGGATCATGTGGTCGCTTGATTGGTATATTTCTCCTTCGTAACTGTGAAAGATCCCAAGGTTGCTGCACCGTCATTCTTAACTATGTACGCACGCGCAGGGCATACATATATAAGGGAGGGGGTTCTTCTCTGTGCGGCTCGTGTTGTGGCCTGCGTCTTCTGGAAACATTCTATTTAAGTTTTACAAATAAATTTACTATTAGTCCTACCACCTACTTACATAGAGCATTTGTAATATCGCGCGCGACGAGTGTCTTATCACTCGGACTAAATATTGTTCGCACAGAGTGTTAGGTCCTCTTCTACGAAGAACGATGAGATACAGATAAGAAAATTACTGGCTGCCGACGTTGGCGAATGCTCTATTCTTTGTTCTCATAGGCTGCTATTTTTCGACTGTGAACTGTTTTTAGCGCATAGATACGCGTTGGTTATTCTACCTTCGACAATCTCGTGTCTACGCATTATGCGGAGTGGTCGACCAGAAACCCAACACCAAAATGTCTCCCTAGGTAGTGAATGTCCGAAAAAATGTTGAAGACATAATTTCAATAGATATGAAAGCGACGGAACATAGTGGTGGAAAATTTTTTTCTAATACAATTTTTATGGGCATCAATTTCATTTTCGGAAACATAAATTAAAAAAATAGCAATGTGTCGCACCTTCGCAATCAAGAAAGATATTCGGGCAGAACGGATCTGAACTGCTTGGAAGGTGGAAAATATACGACACAGTCCAGTCATTGTTTATAAACTGAGCTTGGCGTCTCCAGCCAAGCGCAGCTGAGAGCAGCAAGTGGAACGTCACGGTACACGGATGTCGCATTCTGCAGAATGAAAAATCTACCTGAACTACCTGATCACTGCGCCCGACTATACTATGTATATATGGTATATCCATATAATTTAGCGTAGCTAAGTCTCATGCATAATACGTGTATTACACTCCTGTGAGGGGCTGTATGTACTCGGCCACCTATGTGTACCGAAAGCATGGCGTGCGAAGGTCCCCTTCGATTGACACTTCGTCTGGACTTTCACTGTTGGTACGCCGTACCGAGCACTCTGTTCAACCGAAGCATCGTTCGGCCGAATCTAACATTTGTTCTTCGAAAGGTGAACGTTTCCTTTGCTACCGGTAAAACCTGTTTGTTCGATTGCACCGATCTCGGTCGAGAGATCCCAGTATGGCCAAAGATTGTGAACACGTTGAAAGATCCCCCAAACATAGATCCTTCGAGAGTATTGTTCAAACGGCTTTCAAGAAGTTAGTCAAACGATATAATACACCGGGTAGATAAAGTTAGAAGCATGAAATCACCTGATTATCGGCAAAAATACATTTGACTATAATCCAATGGTGGGCAGCCACGGTGCAGTTGCAGCCATCCATCGCACAAATGCCGATGCTCGCGGTCCGCGCGAAATTCGGCAAGGTGCAAAGAAGACACATAAACACTAGAAAGCTAAAGATGCGCGATCCCGCGGTATTCACTGCACCCACTCCACCAAAGACACTCAACACCTTTCGTCTGGTGTTCATGTTTCACGACACAAACAATTCACCAGGGCCTTTAGAACGATCGAAGAACCAAGCCGATCTCTCGAGGAGCGAGATGCTGCTCGAGATCATCGAATCTCTAAATCATGCACACTTCATCATCATCCATTCTTACGTCGTTCTCTCCTCGTGCCACATCGATACGTTCAAAAAGTCAAGCTTCACGCGAATACGAAAAATTTCAGTAAAAAGGGAGAGGGGGTCGAAGCCGCTCTACTCGTTCAAGGCATCTTTCCTTGTGCATGAGAAGCGGAATCGCGTGAAGGACATGGCGCACCTACGTCACGTGGACTCCCACGGATGAGAATAGTTAAAATATGTCAATGCTTCAAATCACTGATCAGGGTGACACGCGAAGAGACTTGGGCCGGGG